GCAGAGTGTCCAAAGCCACTGCTGTAGATATTAGAGAGCATTGGGCTTGGGACTCCTCAGGCAGAACCCGTGTTGTATGTCCTTGGGCAAGTTACTTGCCTCACTGTGCCTCAAGTTTCCTCATCTATAAAATGAGGATAATAGAATTGCTCTTACCAGGTTGATAATGGAATGGCTCTTACCAATGGTAAGTGGGATAATGCAGGTGCCCAACAACAGCTGCTCAATAGATGCTGCTTGCCCCTGTGGGGCTGCTATTCCTCCTGCGATTTCAGGGGGCTGAAGTCAAAGGCTATGTGTCATCTAGAGTGTGTGCAGGCTTGTGGGAAATTATTGTAACATGGTCAGCCCCTTAGTATCCTTTGCAGCATGCTCTCGTGTTTCTCTGACACCGATGGTCTGGGTCTGAAAGTCTCCTCGGGAGGAGAAAACGGGACAGGAGAAGTGGGAACTTCTTGATTCTGGGAAGGAGTAGAGGCTAGAGCCCAGGCCAGAAACCATGGCAGCCTCACCTCCAGTCACCGGCCAGTCTGCCTGGGCCGGGTCTTTGGGACCTCTTTGCCGGGTGTTCGGTCACCCCTGCCCTTCCCCTGTAGCGGGCGAACAGCGTCCCGGAGATGTCGGGCCCTGGCCCAGGCGTGGGGGCGGCAAAGTTGGAGGGCGCCTGCCAGGCTCCGGGGCCGCCGGTGGTAAGTCACGGGCCGCGACCGCCACACACGCGGCCACGGCCCACGCGGCCACGCTCGGAGCCACCCGCGCTCACTTCACAGCCGGCCCGGCTGTCGCGCCCGAGGCAAATGGTTGGGTTCCAAATCCGCCCGCGTCCGCGGCCAAGACCAGGCAGGTCCGACACCCGCCAAGCCGTGGAGTTGAAAAGCTCCCAGTGAACGAGCCAAGGCCCGGTCTCACCCTCTAGCTAGAGGACGCGCTGGGGCTTGCTGGTCTGGCGACCCAGGAGCCCAACCCCTCATCGCGGCCGCCCTTCGCCTTCCCTCCCCTCGGACCGCGCCAGCCTCGGGCCTCCTCCCCGGGGGCTGAGTCCACGGGCAGCGGACACAGGGAGGCCTAAAAGGCCCCCTGGACCGGGGGCGGCTCCCCGGTGAAGGAGGCGGGCGCATGGAGCACAGGGTCCGGACTCTTTCCGGAGACTGGGCCGAGGGCTGGGGCTGGCTTCCAGGAGTCGGGAGCAGGTTGGAGGCCCTTTGTTGGGAAGGGAAGTGGCAGGCGCGTCCCCAGTTCACCAAAACGAGTGCAGAGTCGGGCAGGAGACCCAGGCGTTCGGGAAGCAGGTGTCCCAAGGTGGGCGGGCGTCTATAATTCCATAAACAAAGAAACTGGGCAGCTCATCCCCGGAACCAGGGGGTGGTGGGAAGACTGCTAAAAGAATCGCCGACAATTTCCTTCATAAAAATGCGATCTGAGAGCATTTGATTTCCACTTTCACTCCCCCCCGCCCCGACACACGCACTGTCTCCAAAGACACTCAAATTGCAGCCATATGGGGCTAAAGTAATAGGAAGCAGTTACCTTATTTACTGCAGTGGCGGCGCACTCGAACCTGACAGCCGCAGCCGAGGACCGCCGGGCAATGAAATTAAGAGCAGAAGGTTCTTGTTCTTTGAAACTCTGTTTTGTTTACACCCAAGGGTGCACGAGGGAAAAGCAATTATCTAACTTTGAAGGATAAAAGAGGTTGTGTGGAGGAAAGAAGGGAGGTGGCGAGAAGTGAGTGATCGAGGAAGGCAGGTTCAATAAGAAAGGTGGAGAGCGGGGTTCCTTCTTCCCTTGGCTTCTAAGTGTCACCGGCTGATCACTTTGAAAGTCTCAGCGGGAAGGACGCCTCTACCACCCAACGCTAGCCCCCTCTCCCGGCAAGTACAGGCATCTTTCTTCACCCACCAGAGAGGCCCCAGCTCTGGGTCGCGCCAGACTACAAACCTATTTCTCAGACTGCCACCTCTCAGTCTCCAAACTGTCGGGGAGTTGAGGTCACCCAATGACTGGTGTTCACACTCTCTGCAGCCCTGCTCTCTCACAAACAGTTGGCAGCAGTGCGCCAGTCAGGAGTGAGACACACCCCCATCACTAAGTTGGGGGTTGCTTTCCCCACCCTGCGGGACTGAGTTTCTCTGCAGCGGACAAGAACTGGGCTTGGTCTGATTGTTCTCAGATTATTCTATGCCTCTCGTTTCCTTCTGGATCGAGTTCCACCTTTGCTATAGGCGCTGCAGGCAACCCGACGTTTGAAAACTCAGACAGCTCGCAAGCGCTAAGCTAATTTTGTTCAGAACAAGTGTTTTTGCCACCAGACATAAAGACAGGCGGGAAAATGCGACGGGGAAGCAAAAAAAAAAAAAAATTACTAAATACCCCTCCGGAGGAGGGGGCCATGCACGGCAGCGCTGGGGTTTTCATTTCCCACTTGAAGCTTCGGAGGCACTTAGGCAAGGAAGAAAAAAGAGAGTGAGAGAGGGAGGGAGAAAGAGAGAGAGGGAGAGAGAGAGAGGGAGGGAAAGACGGAGGGAGGGAGAGAGGGAGGGAGAAAGAGAGGGAGAGGGAGAGGGAGGGGAGAGAGAGGGAGAGGGAGGGAGAGAGGGAGAGGGAGGGAGAGAGAGAGGGAGAGGGAGGGAGAGAGAGAGGCAGAGGGAGGGGGAGAGGGAGGGAGGAAGAGAGGGTGGGGAGGGAGGGTGGGAGGGAGGGAGGAAAGGAGGAAGGAAAGAAAGAAAGAAAGAAAGAAAGAAAGAAAGAAAGAAAGAAAGAAAGAAAGAAAGAAAGAAAAACACTGGGAGGGAGGAGCTGAGCTAACTTTTTCAGCGTGAAACTGATACCATCGACCTCTGCACGCCTCGTGCAAACTCCGGGTCTGTAAAGGCACCCAACGCAAACACAACTCCCGGGAACAGGGCTCCAGAAACCCTATCACAAGGGAAACCACCACTCTTCTCTGGCGCAGGCCAGCTTGCGAGGGGTGGGGGAAGGCGGGGGGTAGCGAAGCCGGTCCGTTCCTCCAGCCCGATCGGGACAGGCTCCCTCTCTTCGGCTCCAAGGTGGCCCTGGGGCTGCCCGGGAATTCGGGCGGCCGGTGCGTGGCTGGGACAGCCTGGCAGCCATCGCCCACAGCGGGCAGCGGATTCCAAGCGGGAGCGGGCGGGGTGTGCAGAGCGACCCGGGCCCAGGGCGGAGGGTGGGCTTTCTCTGGGCGGGGAAACCAGACACTTATAGGCGGCTGAGGCCGACTTTATTTTTACTGCCCAAACTGTTGGAAAGTATTTAAGCTTAAACAGAAACAGCTGTATCGCTGGCACCGGCCAACGAAACTATTTGTTACCGGGAATGACTTTTTATGATTAAGGACGCGGCCGTCGGCGGCCTCTCGCGGGCAGCCCGCGCGGGTCGCCAGAGCGATCTGGGCGTCGCCAACTCGCTGTTCTCTTATAAGACCAAATGGCCAGAGAGAGGAGACTGTACACCTAAAGCCCACCTTGTAAAGTTTGAGCAAGGCCAAAAACTGGAACCCCGCGTTTCCAGGGGTGGGGGCGGGGAGTGGCAGGGAGGGTGGGCCGGGAGCCGCGCCTGTCCCGCGCTTCCAGGACGCGCCGCTCCCGCCGCGCACCTAACTTTGGACAGGAGGCCGGTTTTCCGCTCTGGGCTTTCTGCCCTTTCGAGTCAGACTCCTTGGCTCGCCTTTCCTTCTCTCTCTCTCGTTCTTTCTTTTTTCTCTCTTCCACCACATCCCTCGCCAAGGGAAACTGCTTCCAATCAAGTTTATCAGCGATATTTTAACTAAATCATGGGTTCCGAGGAGTAGGTGCTGTTACTTGCAGCTTGGTTGGTAAGAGAAAAGTGTTGGGGATTGCTGGGCCCGGACTTGGGCTGCTGTCCCCGCCGCCGCGGCCCCAGCCACGGGTCACCTCGAGCTGAACAGGAGCTTGTGTTTGCGTGTGTGCAAACTCGAGGCTTCTAGGGCCCGGCCCTCGCCCCCTTTCCTGGACCCCGCCATTTTCGCCCCTCTTCCTCAACCCACACTAGACCCCGCGACGCTCCCCGGGTTTTCTCGCGGAGTGTCTGCCACGCACGTTGGGAAGAGCTGTGGACAGGAAGTGCGCGGCGCAGGCCCAGCGGGTCGCCCGGATCCGGGGGAAGCAGGACGCTCCCCCAGCCGCGCGCCCCAACCCCAACCAAACTCCAGACTCTGCTTGGTGGTCGTCCATGCCCTCCCCCAACACACCCAGGCCCGGGGCACGGAGAGGCTGGGCTGTGGCTGGCGACCCTTGGGGCCAGGGCCTGGCGGGGACGAGCAGCGCGGGCTGGCGGCAGAGGCAGGTGGCTGCGGGCGTCTGGGACGGGTGGGGGGGGCAGGAAAAAGGCGCGCGACGCCCCCCACGGGATCCCGGGGTGTGGGAAGAGTCGGACGGCAACAGCGAGCCGCCACTGGGTCTGCATTCGACTTCCAAGCTGGGGGCGAGCGCTCGAGCCCAGCCCGGCTCGCAGGGCCCGGAGGGTGGCCGAGGGCAGGGTTGCGCGACAGGAGAAGGAGACGCAGGCACATTGATTTGTTAGCGGGATGGGGCTGGCGGCAGCGGGGGAGGCCGTTGCCATGGAGACCGAGGGTCGGGTGTGCAACTCGGGGGGAGGGGGCCGGGTGGAAGAGCTGGCAAGGGGCGCGTCGCCGGCTCTTGGGGTTCGGGCGCGGCCTGCGGCGCCCCAACACCTGTGCATTGTGCATTGTGCGGCGCGGGCGGCGGCGGGGGGAGGGAAGGGCGCGAGTCCGGGCGGTGGGGGTGGGGCGGGCTGGGGGTCGCTGAGGGGGCGTGGCCTGGCTGACACCACCGCAGGGGTCCCAGCGAGAGCTGTGAGGGACGCTGAGCACCGGAGGGACATCTTGGCGGCGGGAAGGGGGCCCCGGCGGGGACAGAGGGTGGACAGCCCCCCTGCCAGCCCAGCAGACTGCGCGCGGGAGGGGGAGGAGAACTGACGTCAGCGGGAGAGTATTATGGTCTGTCGTGCGCTGGCTGCTGCTTTTCTGCTCCTGGAAGCGGCCAAGGGGGGAAGCGGCGAGTCAACATGGAGCTTTCAGCGGTGGGGGAGCGGGTGTTCGCGGCCGAAGCCCTCCTGAAGCGGCGCATACGGAAAGTAGGTGCCCCCAGGCCTTGGGCCGAGCCCTCCCCTCCCGGCCCGGGTTCCCTCCCCCTGCTGCAGCCCAGCTTCCCTTCCCCCAGGTCCCAGCAGCGGCCGCGGCCGTGGCGGCGGCTCTGAGCCCAAGCGCTTTCCTTAGACTTGCAGCGATGCACAGATTGCATGGGTGGGGGTTGGGGGGCGGGGTGGGGGGAATGAATGCCGGTGCATGCACTTTGTGCAGCGTTTCGTGCAGGGGGTGATGCAGCGGGCGCTTGCCTTTCGCGGTGGGATTTCGCGCATTCATTCGGTGCATGCATTTTTTTGCATGTATTTCTCGTGTCCTCGTCATGCATTTTTCCCCGTGCACACATACATTTTCCTTTTTACATCCTCAGGGACGCATGGAATACCTCGTGAAATGGAAGGGCTGGTCGCAGAAGTAAGTAGGTTCTGTGCAATTCTCAACCCCAGACTGTTATTTGGGAGCTTGCTTTCTTCCTCTTTTTCCCTTTACGTTGAAATACAATACAATGCAACAAGAAAAGTTACAGACATACACACACCTACCCGCGGCTCTTTCCCTGCTCCCGGGACTGATGCCCACTTCTTCCTGATTCCTTTTAGGTACAGCACATGGGAACCTGAAGAAAACATCCTGGATGCTCGCCTGCTCGCAGCCTTTGAGGAAAGGTAGAGGCCCCTCCAAGCTTCGACTTCTCACTTAGAACATGAAGGGTGGCTCCTATCCAGCTTGAACTGGAGGCCCACTTGGTTTCTTTACTCACACACCCCTTTCTCCCTCCTTCCTTTCTGCAGGGAACGAGAGATGGAGCTCTATGGCCCCAAAAAGCGAGGACCCAAACCCAAAACCTTCCTGCTCAAGGTAGGATGGCAGTGTCCAATGGTGGGCAGCAATGTTATGTCAGTTTGTGGGAAGCGGGCCCTGAGGGCTTGTGAACCAGTGGGGTGTCCTATTTGTAATCTAGGAGGGAGTCCCCAGACAGGCTGTCACCAAGTCACTGGCACTGCTAAGTGTGTCTTGAGGGGAGGGGTATTTTAGAATTCCACACTAGAATTCCTTTATCGGACCCCCCAGCCATCCCAAATAGACATGTAATCAAATACAAGAAGTGTGCTTGGTGTGGATGGCTGCTTCCAGATAGATCGTCTACTCCTTCCTCCAGACTGCTGCCCCTAAGCTTCACCCCAACCCATATAGAAATTCCAAGGCATCAGAGAGTGTAGCAGGGAGGGTGGGGCTGGAAGAGGGGTGGGGAGGTGGGGGCGGTGGACAGGGCACTGCTCTGCTCTTGACACTGCATTCTCTTCTTGCAGGCCCAAGCCAAGGCAAAGGCCAAAACTTACGAGTTCCGAAGTGACTCGGCCCGAGGCATTCGGATCCCCTATCCCGGCCGCTCACCTCAAGAACTGGCCTCTACTTCCCGGGCCCGTGAGGGCCTTCGGAACATGGGTCTTTCGCCACCGGGGAGCAGCAGCACCTGCCGAGTGGAGCCCCCTCGGGACCGTGATCGAGAGAGGGAGAGGGAACGAGAGCGTGAACGGGGTGCTAGCCGCACAGATGACAAACCCAGCTCGCCAGGCGACAGCTCCAAGAAGCGAGGTCCCAAGCCCCGGAAAGAGCTCCTGGACCCCTCACAAAGGCCCTTGGGAGAACCCAGTGATGGCCTTGGAGATTACCTCAAGGGCAGGAAGCTGGACGACACTGCTTCCGGGGCAGGAAAGTTCCCAGCTGGCCACAGTGTGATCCAGCTGGCTCGAAGGCAGGACTCGGACCTGGCCCAGTGCGGTGTGGCCAGCCCCAGCCCGGCTGAGGCCACGGGCAAGCTGGCTGTGGACACCTTTCCAGCCAGGGTCATAAAGCACAGGGCCGCCTTCCTGGAGGCCAAAGGCCAGGGCACCCTGGACCCTGGTGGCCCCCGGGTCCGGCATGGCTCAGGCACCCCCAGCTCTGTGGGGGGCTTGTATCGGGACATGGGGGCCCAAGGGGGAAGGCCCTCCCTCATCGCCAGGATCCCAGTGGCCAGAATCCTGGGGGACCCAGAGGAAGAATCCTGGAGCCCCTCTCTGACCAACTTGGAGAAGGTGGTGGTCACCGACGTGACCTCAAACTTTTTGACCGTCACAATTAAGGAAAGTAACACGGACCAAGGCTTTTTTAAAGAGAAAAGATGAATTGCTGGGTGGGTGATCCCAGGACAAGAGAGCAGGAGAGAGAGTGAGAGTGCAAACTTGGCATAATGCTTTTTATTTCTGGGTGGGAGGTGGCCTTCTGGCTGGTCCTTTCCCATCCCTACCTTCACATAACCCCCTTCCTTTCATCCCTCCCCCTCAGTTTTGGTTGGAAAGATTATCTCTAGAGTTATATTTTCTATTAGATGTAAATATGTTATTTAAGAAAAAATATCTAAATATATATATTTCAACTCTTGAAGTTGTTTTATTTAAACGAGGAGAGAAAGAGAGACTCAGTGTGGTTCAGTTGGGGCAGACAGGCTGAGATGGGCAGGAGGGGCCTGACAGCCACCCAGGGCACTAGGGAGGATGAAGACCTGGGCACTGGGCCTCTGATGGTGTCAGGAGAGACTCAGCCAGCCCACCTAACCCCTCCTCCCTTTTCCTACAGCCCCAGGTCACACCCCTGGAACCAAGGCAGGACCCGGATTTTTTCTCTCTTCCCATTGGTGGGCCAGGCCAACAAAAGGTTGGCTCCCCAATCAGAAAGGAAGGGGGTGGGGTCAGTCTGTTATTCTTTTTCCTAATTTTTTTTTTTTTTTTAAGATTAAGAAATCTGTTGCGGGGAGAAAGTATTAACTGGAGTAACATTTTGTGTGTGAGGTTAAAGGTAAAAAGTTGCGGGTGGTTGGGGAGCAGCAGATTTCTCCCAGGACCACACCAGAAAAAGCACTTTACGGGAGATGTGTGTGTTGTACACGCAGATCGGATCGTGTGTATGTCATGTGGACAAAATCTCCCAGTTCCCTCGATTCCTTTCCTTACTCCACAGAAAGAAAAGAAATCCAGCGAATCTGTTTACATTCCCGAAATGCCAGGATAAATTGGGAGGATTGCATGTCAGTGCCCAGAGTTCGAGGCGCTTGTTGTTTTACAAGAAAAGTGGTCGGGGTGGACTTTTCCTTTTCGCGTCCTCTAGTTACGCCAGAAGAGACGGTGGCCCCCACCTCCCAGGAAGAGTTGGACTAGCCTCCCTCCCTCGGGGAGGGCGGGCCGCCAGCTCTCAGGAGAATGTATGGCCAGACAGGCCCACCCTGCGGGACCCACAGAGGGAGGGGCGGCTGGGAGCGGGGGCCGCAGCTTGGCTGGGAGTGCGATGGAGGGTCTGGGCTTGGGGCTCGGGGCTCGGAGCCGGCAGGACTCGCATCCCGGCGGTTTCGGCTGGGAGAGGGGAGGGGCGAGGGGAGGTTTCCATCCAAGAGTGCGCATCAGAACTTTTCCTTTTTTTTTTTTACCCCCTTAAAAGCAAAAGCTATAATTTATAGGCCTTTTCGATTCGCGGAGTGTTCTCTATTTGAACTCGACATTCAAACTCTGCCAGAGGGGGAGGGAGGAGCGGGAGTTGGAGAAGAGACGGCTGGGGAGGCCTTGCGTGGCGGCGGGTCCCGGGACGCCCCCGCCCCGGCCGACTCCTGACCACGCTGTGCTCCAGGGTCGCAGAACGCGCGCTCCTCTTTTGACTCAAAAGCACAAATCTGTCCCCCTCACATCCCGGTCCCTTCGAGGAATGATCCTGCGGCCTCCCCGCCCTCCCCCACCCTTAAAGGGCCAGCGGGGATCTAACGTCCCATTGCTAGTGGAGGGAGGGGCGAGGGGGCCCCGAGCCTTGAGAGGAAGCACAGATTTCGGGCGAGCGCGGCGGGGACCCGGGATTGAGGGGGGAAACTTCTCGATGCTGGGGGGACAGGGCGGGAACCCCAGCCTGGTTTCTCTTCCGCACTCCCCGTATTCCCACCTCCCTCTTCTCAGCCTCTCTCTCCTCCAGACTTTTGCCTTTGAAGTGAGGGGGTAAAAAAGAGGAAGACGGTGTACTACATGATTTTTTTTTTAATTATGAAATTGCGCCTGTAAAGAGAAGCCCCTGGAATGGGGATTTTTAAATGCTCGCGTTTGTAAAACTGGTATTTTAGACTTTGTATAAAGAAGCGCCGTTGACCAAGTGTATCTATTTAAATATCGACGCTATTTTCAGATGAAACTTCATTGACGGGACATGTCTGTTACCGAGTGGAAGGTCACTCCGGGACACGTGTCTTTACCTGGCTGCCGCCTTCCCTCCCTCCCTTCCTCCCTTCGCCCTCATCTCCCTCCCTCGGGGATGACTTTGCCCCTTCCCCCTGACCTTTCCCGGCTAGCGTCGTTCTGCCCCACCGTCCCTCTGTCCTGCCGTCTGTCCGTGGCCATTCGCTCGTCTCTTTTACTCTCTTTTGCGACGCTGACCTGGGGGTGGGTGGGCAGGGCCGGGGCCGCGTGGCTGGGAGTCTGCAACCGCGCGGGATGTGTGCGTGTTGGGTTTATTTAATTCTAAGATTTGTACAAATCTCGACTCGATCTCCGCCTCAGCTCGAGTGAAGGTTGGCACCTATCTTCCGCGGTTGTGAATGTCTGTATCCAATACCGCTTTTTACATGTTTAAATATATACTTTGTAAATAGAGACGTGTCTCGGATTTTATTCCTTTTTGCTGGCCCTCGAGAAGAGGGAACAGGCGCCTCGCGGGGGAGAGGATCCTTCCCTCCTCGCTCATTTCCCATCCCACCCCCTCTCTCGCCCTGTCGGCCCTGGACGATTCCGTTTCCAGTAGGCCCTTCCCCAACTGGGGGGATGCCAAACCCGGCGGTGGAGAGGGGTAGGCTTGGGAGGGAGTGGGATGTGACCCTTCTTAGCCTTCTATAAGGGGATGGTCCTGGCTTTCCTCACCTACGGACTGCACTTCTCTGCGGCCTGGGCAGAACTCAGGGATCTCGGGAAGATGGGCCCGACCTCTGGGTTCCCTTTTCTTCTGGCAGGACTCCCGCAGCGCACCCCACCACCAGGCCTGAGGTCCTGGTCCCTGACGCCCGGCGCCTCTGTACCGCGCTCCCCCGGCTTCCTCGCCAGCTCACCAGTGCTGTCTGGGGACCCGCCCCCCAGACCCACCTAGCCTCGCCAGCGCTCCCCGAAATGCAGCGCCTCGCGCCTATTGATTGAGGAATTGAGTTCGCGGGTATTGCTAGGCAACTGGCTGCTCCGAGCTGGCGCAGAGCGCGCTGATGTGATTAGTGAACCCGGAGCTGCCTCGGCGCAGCCCCGCGCCCCCGCCCCCGCCAACCCCCACTGCCTCTCAGTCTCCGGTCTTCTGGGGGACAACACCCCCATCGCTGGGCGAGGAACGGTCTGGGGTAGAGCAGAGCACAGGGTGGGGTGGGGGTTTCTCAGATTTTCCTGGCCGAAGACTGCAGCAATGGGGCGGGGTCGTGAAGCCGGCACAGAAGAGCCGCCCTTGGGACCCCAAAGAGGCCACCACATTGAGCTCACTTCCACCCCCATAGCCCTAGCAGACGTCGCCCCGTGGAGAAGCGCGGATCTAGGCGTACTTGGCAGAGCCCGAAGGGAGGCGTGTGGGCACGCGTAGGCTGGCGCATCTCCTGCTCTTGTCCATCGAATCGGTGACCCCACGTTTGGCGGAGCTCTCCCCGCCTCCTTTCTCTAGTCTGTGGCCTGTGTGAGGACCCGGGAGGGAGGGCGCGGCCAGGAGCCTGGGCTTGGGGCAGTGGGTCACCCTTCGGACGTGAGGGACTGGGCCGGCGGGCAGAGTCAGAGGGCGGGGAGTGGAGTGGCTTGGCGAGGGTCGCGGCGGGCGGCCAGCCCCAAAGCCCCAAAGCCGTGGCCCCGCTGCTCCACCAAGACTCCCTCCCGCATTGGGCAGCAGAGTGGGCTCGTGCTTTGGGAGATAGGGAGATGGAGGGCACCGACTCTGCCCACTTTCCCCAGTTGTTTGGCCACCACCAGCCTCGGCTTTGATCTGGTGCTTTTTCCACGAGTTTCCGTTGCCTGGGCAGATTCTCTGGGAAAGAGACCAGGTGTGGAGGCCTGGGCCTGTGGCGCTGCCTCCGGCTGGGGCATTCCTTTGCCTCCGGATGGCAGGGCCGCCTCGTGGGGCCGCCGCCAGCGCGGAGCCTGGCCCAGCACACACACTGGTTGAACTGGAATCTTTATGGCTCTTCGGAAAGCGTCGGGTTGGATTTTTTTTGGTCCCTTTGATGCTTAACAGTACAGATGCTAGTCGAGGCCCCGTGCTGTGTGCGGGAGACCCAATGGCGAACAGGCCTGCCCTCGCACTTTGGGGGCTCGTATTCTGATTTCCTCTTCTCACCCCAAAGTCCCCTGGGACCAAAGGGGTGCTTCGGTCCAGCTGGAGTTCTAGTTGGAGCGTCTCAGGGCTTGCTCGGGCTCTACCTCCAGCCTTGGGAGCCTGGACACGGCGAAAGAGGCTGTGGCCTGGGGCCGGGGCTTTCTTCGTGAGACTTTGGAAACGGAGGCTGCTGGGGGGCATCTCAGAGCGGTTGGGTTGCGGGTCGTCCAATTCGGTTCCCCTTAGCAGCTCGGAGCCCCGGGGTGGGGAATGTTCCCCGCGCGTCCAAAGAGCCCTCGGCCCAATCTTCGCGGGTCGCGCGCGCCCTCTAGAGGCGATGGCCTCAGCCCCGCTCCCTGGCGCCCACCCCCTCCCCGGCGGCGGTGCCTTTCTGGGTCCCAAAAGGAGAAGGAAACGCCTCATCTCCCCTACCCAAAAGTACTCTAGAGTGGGCCACCGCGGGCTCCCCCTCTGCGCCCTCCCTTCGGCCAGGCCCTCCAACCACAAAGGTAGGGAAGAAGGATGTGTCCAGCCCGCCAGATCCACCAGGCGCCCTCGGGCTGGACCAGGAGGCGCGGGGCTGAGCCCCCGGGATGCCGCGGGCCAGGTCGGGCCCCTTGGCAGCCCAGCCCATTCTTCTGGGAAGGCGGTGGATTAGGCGATCAGATCAGCAGCGCAGAAACTAACAAAGGCCAGTGTGGGTCAGGGCCCCCCCTCGTGCACGTCTGCCCGGCGCTCTGTACAAGTGGACTCGGGCCCGCCACCGGGAAGGGCGCGGGCTCTTACTCCCTCTAGCCCGCTCTTTCCCGGCCATCCCCAACCCCTTTCTGCTGCTCTCAAAGGCCCAGGACAGGACAGCTAGGGTCGTCCCTGCCCACCTCCTCCAAAAGAAAGCCGCTGCAGCCACCGAAGGCACAACAAAAGAAAACATGCCCGCAGCCTTCCCTGCAGGAATCTGATTGCAAATTCGCAGGGCGAATTCTGGAGCCGGGCAGAGCTGAGGGGGTGCACTGCTGTTTGTATTGGGAATCTCCTCCCAAACTAAAACATTCAGGCCTTCGCCCCAACTAGCCTTTCAATC